CTTTAACTATCTTATATCTATATCTTCAGAAAAAAAAATCTCAAGTATTCAAAAGCTTCTGAGGTTTGATCCAGTTTTTTAACAAATTGATTCATCAACCCTAGCTTAATATGCAGAGGTGACATTAACACTTTTTCCGCTTCAACAATTGCCTCAAAATTTACGTTTTATTTCCCGACACAAAGTTCTGTTTTTACAAGCCATGACCATTGAGTATAATGCTTAGTAACCGCTCTGCTATCCCATAAGCACAAATAACACGGATACTTTGTATATCCGCTTTGAAGTCCCATCAAAAATGCCACCATTTCAAAATCTCCAGTCATCTGCCAGTTATACTCGCAATACTTTACAGCTTCAAGCAAAACACTTTCATAATTTTCTTTAAGATGTACAGCTTTTAAGCTTTTTGTCATTTCAAAAACAAAGTCCATCTTCTTTTGTGAAAAATGTTGAGAATGTTTCATGCCTTGTCCGTTGATCCGTGATATTAACATCATCGAGCAAATTCCACTGTTTTAAGCGAGAGCCTAAAAGCTCCGCTTTACTTTTTGGCAAATTTAAATCTCTAGTCAAATCATTAAAATCTTCTGCAGTGATGAAATGATGTTTTGGTTGTTCTGGTGTCGGTAAAAACACCTTATCGGAATTACTTTTATGAGAACTAAGGGATGAGCTACTTTTCTGTGATAATTTTTTCGGTGGCTCAGGTACTGGTCGTGTTAGATCGTGTGCGACTGGAGCAGAAGAAGATTCAAGATCTGGATATTCGATAGGTTTTGCATTTTTACCTCTACGCTTTTGCTCGGATTCACAAGGCAGAAGTAGCAGTCGTTAACGTGGTCTTTTGGTTCTCGCCAGATTCTTAGTATTGCAAATTTCAGAGACCTTTTCTCACCCCGATACCAACCTAAAATATGGAAATATGGACAAAATATGTCTATTATATTCAATTCACCATTTAATTAAAATTTTCTTACCTTCCAAAGAACTTTTGCAATAACTACAAGCAATATGTGGAGCCCATGTTTTGTCTTGGTTCCGTACCGGACAGTCAAAATATGCCTCGTAGGCTTCTCAGAAAACGTAAGATGTATTTAATTCATATTTTACATCTCGAACTTTAATAAATTGCCCACATATATAATAAAATGCATCAGCATCATATTTACACTTTCTCGACGACATTTTAAGTTATTCTAGATAGATAAGATAAGATAGTATAAACAACCTGTTGACAATGTTTCGTGGTGTAATTCATCAGTTTGGACTTCTATTGTCTAATATAATATATAAATTGATTTGAAATCCCTGAAAAAAAAATTAGAAGGATTAACCGAAAATAACAATTTTATTAAACAGAAACTGTGATTACAAAGAAATAACATACAAGCAATAAAAAAAAACATTTTGTGTTAATAATATTTTTTAATTTTTCAGCTTTTATTAATATTTCAATTTTTATTTTTTTTGGTTGTTGCTTGTATGTTATTTCTTTGTAATTACAGTGTTTGTTTAATAACATTGTTATTTTCGGCTAATCCTTTTTTTTTCAGGGATTTCACTGAAAAAAGAAAATGAAAATCTTCACTCTTTACTGAAGAAACAAAGTGACACGATTAGTGCAATGATGAAAAANCAACTCCAATCTTTACTGTGTATATGACGATTTCCATGCTTGTAAAAAAGTCTCAGGGAAAATAAAGTATTGTATTGTATAATAAAGACAGGTCCGTATTAAAAAAAAAGGTGATGGTGGCCATGTTGACCCGAAACGTTTTATCGAATATTTATTATTACATCGTCATAGTACACTTCGACTACAATAATATTTCCTTTTTCCATTTTTTGATATTCTCCTAAATAACAATTGCATTCGAAAAAAACGAAAAATAACATTTTTGGTTTTCCCTGTATGACTCGAGAAGGGCGAGAGTCCTCGTTAATTTTAGTCGACCATTTTATTGCTTTCGATGACAGTTACCTTTTTTCCCATTTAATAGTCTTAGTATCTGTTACGGTTTAGAATATAGCAATGTTACCACATGATAAAAGACGCCCCCTGTACACTTATCGATAGAGAATTTTGTACTCTATCTATTGATGCTATTTATTTTTTCCATATTTGAATTTTTTGCTTCTTTTCAGGTTATGATGTTGAACGATTTTTGGCCAATTTTTCTCTACGAATTCAAATTGATCGAAAGCGCTACCGAAACAGCCCGAAAAATCTACCAGGCATTTGGCAATGATACTGTTAATGAACGCACTGTTTTACGTTGGTTTGCGAAATTTCGTTCATAAGAAATTTAAGCCTCGAAAATGAGGCCCGAAGTGGCCGATCCACAGTAATCCAGGACGACGATTTGAGGACTTTGGTGGAGACTGAGCCATCACAAACGATGTGTGGGATGGCGGAAGAACTGGGAGTCAACTCAACAATTAATAACGTTTCGAGGTCTTTTGCGCAACCAAAATGATCGTGTTTGGATCGGATCATCACGTGTGATGAAAAGTGAATCCTCTACGACAACAGGAAATGTTCAGCACAGTGGTTGGACACCGATGAGCCACCCAGGCGCTTCCTAAATGGCAAAAACTACCAAAAAAGATCATGGTTACTGTATAGTGGTATCAACCTGCCGAGGAACCTATGCGACTATATTTCAACGAAAATTTACGCCATTGAATTGTGTGCGGAGAGATTGGAAGAATCCAACCTCATACACAAGTCAATAAAAATATTCTCGGACAGTCAAGCGGCGTTGGAAGCTCTTGTCACCTATAGAGCAACGTCGAAATTGGTAGCAAATTGCCAAAAACAACTCTCCTCGATAGGAAGACTCAACAGATTTTCTCTGGTCTAGATTCCTGGCAATACTGGAGGGTGCTGCAAGCAGCTTCATTGGACCAGAACCTGTCATTGGCATCACTTCAGGCTTTTCCAAACAAAGATTGAACACCTGGATGGCAAGAAGATTTATGGACTTCTGGCAGAATCTTCCAGGATTGGCTCACTCCAAAGCATTCATTCAGCTTTCGAAGCTTGATACCAAACAGTTGCTGGACTACAGTAGGGATGAATTACGATGTCTAACAGGCCTGCCTTCTTCCAGGCCACTGTCATTTGAATCATCATATGCTGTTTGGAAAATGATGAAACAGCAGAGCACATACTTTGTGCCTGCCCCGCTGGGGACCAAATCAGGTTTTTAGAGTTCGGCAGAGCTGCACTCTTACCATCTGACCTGAAAGACCACTCACCATACAAACTAATCGGCTTTGGTTTATTTGGTCGATTAGGAATGGGTGTGAGCCACAATAAACCCTTGCGGGTTACGGTTAAGGATCGAATAGACCCACTCATTTTGGACCTGACCTAACCTACTGTATGGTGGTCAGCGGCTGGTGTGATTCATTATAACTTTCTGCAACCGGGCCAAACTATCACAGCAGAGTCCTAGCTTGAGGAAATCGACGAAATGTTCCGAAAATTGCGTTAGCAGCAGCCGGCTCTGGTCAACAAAAGAGGTCGAATCCAGCTCCACGGCAACGCCCGTACGCACGTTTCACAAATCACGTCCGGAAATTAAACGCATTGAGCGTCGAATTTCTACTTCACTCGCCATACTTCTTCGCCAACCGTCAACCATCTTTTGAGGCACTTCGATGAATTTCTCTTCGGTAGAACCTTCGCCAATCAGAACCGGGCAAAAACGGTCTTAGTCGTTTTCATGGAATCCCGAGCACGGAATTTTCATGTTGACGGAATTAATAGACTTTTGTTATGTTGGCAAAAGTGCACTGATTCAAAAAAGTATTTACTGAAACATTACAACCTGATACTTAGAGTACATGTGTGACTAAACTTATGTAGTTCATTCAATTCGAATCATACGTATGTCATTTATATAATCACAATATTTATTTATTCTCGACATGGCAAAAAAACAACTCATAATAAAAAAATTACAAGAAACAGTCCAACTCCAATTGTACAGATATCAAACGAAGAAAATGTGTCGTCGTTCGATGGTATTTCTGAATCATCCATTACTTTTTCATTCTTTTCCTCTCTCAATTAATCTTATCCCACACTCTCTCTGTAAGGATTCCATGAAATCCCAGAGATATATAAAAATTTACCGTTCATCAGTTACCAGTCAGTGATGCTTCAAACGGTGGGTTTATTGTGTCTCGCAATTTTATCTCATGGAAATCCTTTCCAAATACAAGACATTATCAAAGTTCGAAACGGAATCGAAAAAAGCTTGATGTATATCAATGAAAAATATAAAGAGGTTAACGTAGATTGTCTATTCGGTGTTGTTCTTACCCAAGGTGAGATTTTTTAATTTTTTTTTAGATAGATGAATGGCTACAAGCTTACTTAGTTGTTTTTCTTTTATTCAATATTCAGAAAGTTTGTCGTAATATTTTTTTCAAGTTTATGACAGTTGAATTTTAATTTTTGAATTCATTTATGAAGTTATTTTAGGCTTTAAAATCATATCTTTAGATTTCATCTTTAAATAATTTTGTAAATGATACTGTAATCGTTAAATAACTGGCTACATATTTACCTCCCTTCTCTAAAGCGAATTGAATTCTTGATTGACGCAAATTGTAACAGATTCATATTTGGTATTCCTATCTGAAACAGTTCTTTCAATTATCTATTTTATAGAATATCCACATATATCAGTTATTATGATTCAAAAGAAGTCGCAAACATTATTTTAAATATGACGATAGACGATTCCTATATATATTATGCTATAATATTAAAGTTTATTTCACTTTACTATTCATTTTCTCACTGATAAAAATAAAATTATCTGAAATAACAATTCGTTCAGGTCAGTCCCAAATTACCTACGTTGTGGTTTAATGGACTAACACCTATCAGAAAACGACTACTCGCCTGGCTAATACTACGAAGGGCGTTGGTTTATATCCAACAGGTGTCAGTGCATATTCCTGCATATGCTGTTGGCAATATAACTGCGCAATCGATTTTCAATTATCGGAATACACTTGCAGACCGGTTTCGGGCTGTTCGGTCCCTCGTCAGCGCAAGGTAGTATCCATCATCAACACAAAGTCAAAGATTTCCGATAATTGAAAATCGAATTTCTTCAGAGTATCATTTCTCGAACTAGGCTGAAGCGAACGACAAACAACGGGTTTGTCATCGTCCCATCTGCCTGTGAATGGGGCAACCATTGCATATTCGAAATTTACTCAATTACTCGTATAAGGAAGAAAATTTCACAAATTGAGTGGGCATACTTGGAGACTGGCTTTAAATCAAATTATCTAAAAGAACAATTCATTCAGGCCAGTCTCAAATACCTACACTGTGGGTTAATGGACTGACACATATCAGAAAACAACGTCTCCCCTGGCTGATACCACGAAGGGCGTTGGATTATATCCGGCAGGTGTCAGTGCACGATTCTTCACTGAAATTAATTCTGCTTATGCTGTTGTCGCAATCGATTTTCAATTAATATATATAACACACTTGCAGACCGGTTTCGAGCTGAATATTACTGGAGTTTTTTCCCAACAACAAAACCGTTATTTAACACCAAGTGATCATCTTCAAGAAGAAAATCAAACTGCTGTTTGGCCACTTGTTAGTGCAAGGTAGTGTCTATCATCACAAGCAGATGGGGCGATGAAAAACATGTTGTTTGTCGTTCGTTCCAGCTTAGTTCGAGGAATGAAACTCTGAAGGAAGTCGATTTTTAATTACCGGAAATCATCGACTTTATGTTGATGATAAGCCAATGCATGGGGTCTTCTTCAATAACATTGGAGACCTTGGCTTATCAAAGCGTCTGATTGGTAGAGTATACGCATGCTTTCGGTATGAAATTCGGGATAGACAAATGTGTAATGGTTCATATCAAAAGAGGACGATGCGGGAACTACGGAGAGGATGCAGCTCGTAGATGGAAGCATTTCACACCATTTTGATGTCGAAGAGACGTATACTTACATGGAAGTAGAACAACGCCACTCACAAGAGGTAAAGCAGTGAAGAACTCTCTCCGCGGCAAGTATCAGCACAAACTTCGACAGATCTGGTCATCGAAACTGTCGAGGAAGAACAAAGTTGCTGCAACAAATATACTTGCCGTTCCAATCTTACTTTACTCGTTTGGAGTAGTGAAATGGATTCGTGAGTTGCGGTATCAACTCGACGTAAAGACCCGAAAAATGATGCATCTCTATAGGAGTTTGCATCCCAAATCGTCCATTACACAGTTGTATTTCACCCGACAACAGAGAGGCCGTAGACTTTTGAGTTTGGAGTGTCTACATGACAGAATGGTACTGGATATAGCCTATAAAGTCGTCAGAAGTTCGGATCCCCTGAGAGAGCAGGAATTGGAGCATTTATCTTCAGGGCAGCTGTCCGAGCATCTGATGAACTCGGTTTAGTTTTCGACACTGAACGAGGTGACCACAACTCTGTCACCGACTTGGAACCCGTTCAGCGAAAAGCTCATATAAAAGCCACAGAGATCACTTCTGCGGAAACACAAAGATAAGCCAATGCATGGGGCCTTCTTCAATAATATTGGAGACCTAGGCTTATCAAAGCGCTTGATTTTCGCTTTCCTCAGGTCGAGTGGGCTGAAGTCGGAAACTGAGGGGTTCATCATGGCTTGTCAGGATGGTGTCTTCAACACCGTAGTCTACCGCAGTCGCGTGATGGGTAAAGATATTCCTGACATAAGGTGCAGGGCCTGCCGCGAGGCGCCCAAGATTCTAATGCACTTGCTATCAGCATGTCCAGCATATACGGTCTTGGCCTATATCCATCGACATAACGCGGCCCTAAGAGTGCTATATTACCATCTGCGGCACTCTTACGGTATTGACGAGAAACTGGTGTTGTCCTACGCTCCGGGGGATATTGAATCCTTGTGGGGAACGAGAAGTGCTGAGTTTATTGGAACTATTCGTTCCCCGCCCTCAGGCTCATACAAGCTAATAAGCTTGATGTAGTTTTTCTCGACCACCAGAGCAAGACAATATTTGTCGTGGAGTTTTCAGCTCCTGGCGAGACGAATATCGTTCAAAAAGAGGAGGAAAAACGGATAAAATATCGGACTTTTCTCTTCAAACTCCGCAGACTCTATCCAGTCCACTCTGTCGAAATGGATGTTCTGATTATTGGAGTCCTTGGTGGAATGATGCCTTCTCTACTCTCGAATCTTAAAATCATACCGGCCTACCGCAGTAAGGCAGAAATCTTAGCCGGACAGATGCAGAAGGCTGTCATTCTTGGCTCACTGCGCTTGCTCGGGGCACATGATTCTCGGAGAATTTTGAATTCATCAAAGTTTTTTTGAATATTCCTTATGTTTTAAGTTCAAAGTTTCTGATTACCCTACCGAATAAACTCTGTTGCAAACAAAAAGTTTGTTTTCTTTTATATATTTTTTTTGGTTCTAATTTTTCTGTCGTTAGGAAGAAACTAACCTAGTATTTTACTGCTCTCTGGAGGTCTGTTCGACCGTTGGCATTTCTGATATTGAAACCTTTGAGTTTGAAACAGTTTTGAAGTATAATTTACTTTGTTCGATATGATACGAGTTCAGCCTTTGAAGAAGCCGTTATTGAAGTTCCTAATGAATATAAATCGTTTATATCTGTGACATTCACTTCTAAGTTTAATAGTCGATTGATTTCTTTACAGAAAAATCATGATTTCTTTTACTGGCTACTTAAACCTATCCAGGTTTTCTATTTCCCCGTCAAGTTGTTGATTTTCAGCTTCTGATTTGATGATTTTGCATTTCAGGTTTTCTACTTTCAGGAAAATACGTATTTCAGTGGTTTCGATTGAACTCTTCAGTTCCTTTTTACTTTCTATTATTTCGTCGAATTATTTTTCAAGGTTGGGATTTCTCCGTTACGTGATATTTTCTTACTATTGGTATATGTATGAATAGAGTAAGCTCATATTCTACATGGGATTTTAATTTCAAATGATTTTTCTCTCGCAAAATAAGTCGTCTTTTTTAGTTTTCACTTGCCTTTGATGCGGCAATTCATTCTATTGGTACATTAATACGAGTAGGTATAGGTAGGTACATTAATATAACGTCACATATGTTATCTCCTATCTCTGAATCGAATTGAAATCTTGATTAAAATAAATTGTAATAGATTCATAATGGGTATTTCTATATAAATGTTGTTTCAGTTAGATTGAATAAAGAAGAAAGTAATTCAAAACATGAAACAACAAAAATTAATTGGCGCTCCTGGGCGACTTCATTGATTCATGCATTTCTTTAATGTACCCCCTCCCCTTTTATTTTTTGAACAGATCAACTGAAAAAATTGAAATTTGNTCGTGTAATCCATAATCATAGTTCACAGAGGAAAGATGAATAGAAATTCAATTGGCCGAATAGAAATCCGTAATATCTGAGAAGATTTGGGGGTATTTGTTCGTTTTCTTCGAAATACTTGATAATCGACACACGTATACGACATTTCATGGGATACAAGCATCAGAACATTAGTTTTCATTATTGGATTTCGCCTTCCTTGAATTTCGAATCAAGCACGCTGTAAAACTGAATGACATCTACGAAATGAATTGTCTCACTATTTATTTCAGCTATCAGTTATTTACCTAGTTCAATTGAATTTCATTTTATAATATGTGACGGAATCGGATCATGAAAATCCATAAGTGTTCAACAAACACTTCATCATGAGATTTTCATTAAACAGATAGGCAATAGTTTCTTCAGGCGTTCTTCACTGTGTTCTGCATCAATGGTATCTCTACGACCACGTTTGAAGTAAGCAAACCAACGATTATTTGTTGTTTCTGTTGTTTCAAGCCATTGGTTGAAAATAACAATTATATTAAGCAAAAATAAACCTGAAATGAAATAATAGTAAAATAAAATACAAGTAAAATAGAACAATTGAACCAAAATAAATCAACTATTACATAAGCAAACTTTATACCAAAAAATCGCTATTTTCTTTTCGTTTTTGTTCATAATTCAGCAGAAAATCATAAAATAAACTTTAGGATAAAGAACGAAAATTATTTTGTAGAGTCGTGTAATCCATAATCATAGTTCACAGAGGAAAGATGAATAGAAATTCAATTGGCCGAATAGAAATCCGTAATATCTGAGAAGATTTGGGGGTATTTGTTCGTTTTCTTCGAAATACTTGATAATCGACACACGTATACGACATTTCATGGGATACAAGCATCAGAACATTAGTTTTCATTATTGGATTTCGCCTTCCTTGAATTTCGAATCAAGCACGCTGTAAAACTGAATGACATCTACGAAATGAATTGTCTCACTATTTATTTCAGCTATCAGTTATTTACCTAGTTCAATGAATTTCATTTTATAATATGTGACGGAATCGGATCATGAAAATCCATAAGTATTCAACAAACACTTCATCATGAGATTTTCATCAAACAGTGTTACAAAAATGCAACAAGTGTTTTTATAGACAATAGTTTCTTCAGGCGTTCTTCACTGCGTTCTGCATCAATGGTATCTCTACGACCACGTTTGAAGTGAGCAAACCAACGATTATTTGCTGTTTCTGTTGTTTCAAGCCATTGGTTGGAAAATGTAATCGATCCACTCATAACACAGTCCTTAGAACGCCAAGTTGATGAAGAAGACAACCCGCTCTTGGATAAACAAAATTTACATTTTCAAGAGGATGGCGCACCGTTACACTACTCATTGCATGTCTGACAGTGGCTCGATCAACGGTATCCTGACAAATAGATTGGCAGATGAGGCGCTCTGGAATATCCGGCGAGATCTCCGGATTTATCGCCATTGGATTTATTTCTCTGGGGTTATTTGAAGACAATGGTATACAAAACTGCCCCGCAGGACATTCAGGATCTAAGACACAGGATTACTGACACATGGAGAATTAAAAATGAATAGCTGAAAATAACAATTATATTAAGCAAAAATAAAGCTGAAATGAAATAATAGTGAAATAAAATACAAGTAAAATAGAACAATTGAACAAAAATAAATGAAAATGAAGAAATGAAAGGAGAAAATAAAAATGAATGGTTGAGAGATTCCAAGTCACGTTAGCTCACGACGTTCCGATTGTTAGTATCTACAATCGTCTTCGGGTGATGACTGGACTGATTCCTCCGAGAGATGACTATTTATAGGTCGTTCGAGTACTTTCACTTATCCCCGCTTTCCATTTTCCGCTTCACTGGTTCCGTGGGAGATGACC